TCCTATATTTGAGGTAAACTGGATACTATGATAAGGAAAATATGATAGACAAAGATAATGCCATATAATGACAGATATTTCTAACAGATATTCATATGAAAGTACTTTTACACTGCTGAAAAATACAATATGGGATTATGGGTAATCATATTTGAATAAATTCTCCAATATCTAATTCTCCATGCTTGAGTGATATATTACGATCATGTACAATCATATGGAAAAGTGACCATCTGCTTAAGACATTTGTAGCTCTATTTCAAGGTTGTTATAACGTTGATTGACACATGTTCTTCCAATTGATAGGCAAAACATTAACCTGTCTTATGACAGAGGTTGAAGTCTTCAACAAATGATGGCACAATGAAATAAGCTTAATCATTAATAGTCAGTCATTGGATCATGAATGCTCTACATCTAGAACATAGCCAGCGAGCCAATTCCATGTTAATTGGATGAGAGCATAGAAACGGGGATGGTCGGAGATCAGATGATGCAAATTTAGGTTTTCTAAATGTTGACAGATGTAGATATCATTGGCAGGATACCACAAATAACGGAGTGACAGTTTGTTATGAATCTCTACTCACATTCCATACCTGATAGAAGAGGTCTCAATGTGCCTAGTTATTCCCCTTTCGGCAAGCTCGGAAATGAGATGATTGGCTTTTGATCTATGAAACCTCCTCGGTAATTCATACTGGTTACACGCTAAAGATATTCACAGCCAAATACATGTTGTAGTTTATCACTCAAATGTTTCACATCAAAACTTCTCTGCTTTGCTGTGATAGATCATTTGTAATTAAATGGAAGACTAACAAAATGGGAAGTATACAAAATAGATATTTTCATAGAACATAAGAGATAGGGTAAGAGAGTATAGAAAAACAAACAAACAAACAATAAACAAACAAGCACACACAAAGAATCAAGTCCCTTCAATAATGAATGACCAAAGTATTGATATTAAGAAGACATTTATCTCTTTAAAAAACCCAAAGGATTAAATATAGCACCAGAAGTAGTGAGATTTCAAGGCAATGCAATGAATATTTAATTGCATCTTTAAAAATGCAGAAATGCCTCCGTATGTAGCGAACATAATTCAAAATTGTGACAATGCTTCTTTTTCTGTGTGTCTAAATCTGTTCTTCTCTTATTAACATGCAAATTTATAGACTCACTCTAAACAAGATAATTATCAGAGCCCCATTACGAGGGTCCCTAGAGAGGAACAGAGTAAGGCAGTCAGAGACAAGTGTAGCATTATGAGATGTTCACACTGGCAAACAAAAAATCTTTTCAGAGAAACATATGTTTAATATTTTTATTCATTAGATGAAGGTGTATGTAAATATTGGTTCATTCATTAGAAGAACCGGTAGGTAAATATTTATGAATCACAATGTATAATTTCTTGGACTAATGACATAATCACAATGATAAAAATCTTCTTAAAGAAGCACCAGGCTTCATATTTGCACGTCATATTGGATAAGTTACCTTACAATGTTGAAATTAAAGAAGCAAACACATTGCTTAAATGGTTATAATTCCCCCATTAGTTCTCCCTCTATCACCTTTCTATCTCTTTCTCCTCTTAAAATGATGGAAAAATGAATGCCACACTATCGGCATACAGATGAAGTCTATAATTAAGTTGAGGTAGTCTATTCAAAATTGTGTTTCATATCTGAAACTAATTCAAACTATACTATATATCTTGAAAAGCTGAACAAAATTCCTTGTTCTGACTTATTTTCATCATTACAACTCATAATCGTAAATAGGAAGTATTCTGACTATAATTTTTTAAGATTATCACTTTTATCCATGACATCACACCAAGCCAAAGCTTGCCAAGAGGATGAGAGCTGCACACACTTTATCGAGGACAAGGTTGACTTTTACATGATTTAAAAAAACATAAAGCTGTGCTTCAATGTCAACATCCAAGCCTTCTCCTGCAAAAGGTTATTGATTTTGTTTCTTGTGGCAAGCTCTAGTTGCAACCCTGATCAAGAGCTTCTCATCTGAACCTAGCCCAACCTGGACGGACACAAGAAGCTTTTTGGCAAATAGCCATTTATCATCTACCATTAGACAGCAAGCTTCATGAATAATGCATCGCTCATTAACATTTCACTTAGACACCATTCATAATTAATGAACATACATCAGCAAGTTCTTGACGTGTGTTACTGGCCTGCTCGGCTAAAGAACACACGCACCTCAGGCTGGGGGCGAAAGGTGCCACAACACAATTTGGAGAAAGGTGACAGATTTAGGAATAAAACACAACTGGAATTAGAAATGTCTCCCTCACACCATAGTTTTCCTGTTAATGTTCATTAATCCTTGATAACTACTTTGTATTTCCAAGTCTACTACCGTATTTGTAAAAAAGCAAACAATGGCAAATTATCACCAAATTAGTTCAAAATAAGTGTGTGAGAGAAAGAGAGAGAGAGAGAGAGAGAGAGAGAGAGAGAGAAGCAGTAGAAAGTCTTCACTGATGATTAGGCATCCTGGCAAAGCAAACTCAAGTGATTCTGCAACTACTATGCCACTGTTTCGCCTGTGTAAACTACCAAAACCTGCCCTTATCATATTAATAAGAAATTGAGTGACTTTCAATTGCTTCATGGTTCCTTTGATAATGAATTAGTAGCTATTATGTAACATTCAACCATGACCCATGTACCTACCTCCCTCACACCAATAACATGGCCATTGATCAATTGATCTTGTTACTACAAATTGGACAACACATATTACATAACGTGTCATTTGCACTTTCAAGATCAATTCTACAAATCTATTTCCGCAGGATTCTCGCAGCACTCTGTAAAATATTTTTATTACCGCTAGAAGACAAAAATCCAGGGACCATTTTGAGTGTGTGCGTGCGTGAGGAGGTATATATCGGAGTGATTGAATTCCTAAGTGGCCACTGCTTCATTTGTGATATGAGCATTTGGTAACAATCTCAAGTAATCATCAACAGAAGATCACTAGGTTACTTAATCCACAAGAATTGAATTTCTTTAAAATTAAACAAAATATGACTTTTATCCATTATGATCTCATTCACTTTCTAACTCAAGATTTTTTGGAGAGCTAATAACTTGCTGTAGGCTTTCTGAGATATTTCCCAAACAAAGGAAGAAAGGCATGTCCTCTTCAATCTAAACAAAATGGAAGTCTAAATTTTATTTTTAATCATTAGATTTTAAAAGACTTTCTATTCTTAATTATTGAAATGTCTATAACTGAACTAACTAAGGTTGCGTTTATCTAGCAAATTTTTGGCTAGAATCAGGTTTCTCAAACGTCTTTCTGGCAAATTTAGAAGTAGATAAACGCAAAGCCTTTTTCAAACGTCTTTAGATATGGGCATATCTAAAGACGCAAAAAGGTGCGTTTTGAATGTGACATACAGCCAGAATCACGTTTCTGAGAGATCGATAAACGCAAAGCTGTTTTGAACCTCACATACAAATATGACCACCCAGGTGTTGTGTACAAGCATACGTGTGAAGTTGACCTCCGAGAAACTGTCTGCTTCCCGGGTCAAAACAGCTGGGCAGACACAAGGCCTTTATTTTGAATCGTGAAGGGTAGATAAACGCGACATCCCGCAAATCACGATCGTATAGTGGGGTACGATAGTGGGGTTTGATAGTGGGGTACGATATGTACATATCTAGTGGCAAGCCTAGATAAACGCGCTCTAATATGATTTTGCAATGATAGAAAAGCTCACAAACCACTAGAAGGCATTTTCTTACTACAATTTTCCAATGGAATATATGATATTTGCATTTATGGCAATAAATATTCCTTCTTTTTGTTTGGTGAGTGTAAATGATTTTCTATTAATTTTTTGTCTTGTGTGAAACGTCTCCTCCTCGTGGTGCAGTGTCAATTTGAGGATTGTGAAAGGAGAACTGTGGGCAGCCCGAGGGCAGTCAACAGGAGATGGGAGCGCTGGGTCAGGCTTGATTGTAAATGTCAACAGAAGACTACCTGAGCCAACGCTTCTCCAATCAGCCATTTACTCACCTTATTACCTCACCTAGCTAGCCTAGCCTAGCCTAGGCCCGCGCCTATTTGGCTAAGGTGTGTTCACATTAACCACACAAGGTATGTTGAGAATCATATCATGCCTGCACATGAAGGAGTTTGTTTACATTACCATGAAACATGCATGGCATGAATTTTGAGGTGAATACCAACATGAAACTGATTCAACGATGTACCATCTTAATTTTTTTTGCAAATGAAAGGATAAATGTACATGTATAATTTTCGCAAACAGCACTTCTCAAACTGCACAACTGTCCTATAGCAGTAGTTCCATACTATTTGAATGTTGTCACAGCCACATGCTCCATTAAAAATATATTAGTCTCATGTACTCTTCAATGAACTTGTCATTTCACATTCCATTTTAGAACATCACTCATTTTTCATCTATTATGCTGCCACAAGTTCACTTTCATCACAAATCTCTCAAAGATCAAACCATTCATGCATTTTTCTGATCACTCTCTAACTCATCAGAAAACACAATGCTTGAAAAAGAACAATCCAAAGCAGAAACTTCTCATAAAGTGAATTATCTATCTACACAGGAATGCCTCTTTAGCCAAACTATATCAACTTCTTAAAAATAATAGCAAATACTGACAGAAAACAAAAATGAAAGAGATGGACTTAAAGTAAACTATACTTAAGTACCAGAAGAGATTTACTGCAATACTCTTGCAGCAATTGATCTATGATCAATTTCCTACACAAATCTAAGTTTGAACTTTAACCCAAGCTCAAACGTTACACCTAACGCTAACCCCAACCTTACACCCAACTTAAATCCTAATTGCAACCCAAACTCTAACTTATATTTTTCACTGAAAATAATGCCTGGAGCAATTATTGCCTTTAGAAGCATATGCTGGGTCAGGGACAGAGGAGTCCAGAAACTTTTGACTTACCCACAAGATTGAAGCCATAGGCAGCATAAGCAGCAGCAGTCCCGGCTACAGCCCCTGCTCTAGCTCCAGCCATTGCTGCAGCGGCTATCCCTTTCCTGGGTCTACCAATCCTCTGACTGGTCTTCTTCACTGCACCCGGGGATTGCTTGGTCCGCATGCCACGACCCACCCCAGCTCGAGATTTGCCAGCTGGTGATGTATCTGGAAGAAACAAATATGGTTGAAAATAATCATGGTATTTCATTACATAAATTCAGATCTCAAACACAATTAGTTCATGGGATAGTATTCTAATCAACATCAACAAGGAGTTCCTTGGTCTTTTCGTGACCAAGGAAAAAGGAGATTTTTTTCCCCCAACGGTAAGAATGTGTGCACTCTACAGTAAAAAAAAAAAAAGAAGACATTTTTGTCAAAAACCCAACTGCAACATCAGTTTAACTATTGGAAATATAAGCAGTAATACTTGTATGTATCTATTCTCAACACAGAGAATAAATACGCATCTGTAACATACAGAATAACATCATACTGGTTGTCTTTTTATTGTAGTAACAAGATTCCTCGTAAACTCTGCTTCAAGATTGAATGAATGGAACGAAAAAAGGATAGTTCTTCATATTTCCCACTATTTTGCCTCCAGGCAAGCCATCATATCTCACTAGTACTTACAACAAATATGCAATTAATTTTGTCTTCAATACTACAATAGATGCAGGGAAGTAGGCCTACAGTATTAACCTTGTATTAGTGCTTGAAATACAAATATTATGCAACAAGGACAATTTACAGCCTTATTAATTATGAGGTGCTTTCATCTTTGTACTGTACTCTCTTTCATTAGGATTATGAATGGTAGTAGCATTTGATGGACTGATAATAAGATAAATATGTTGACTAATACTATTTTCACACTTGTTTTGCTTAGCCCCATAATATCCTAAACCCCGGACTAACTTGTACGATTATAAACATGACCTTACGCACCGGTAGTGCTTTTTGGGAAATGCATATTCATGGATACGTTGTGTATGAGTGGACAGTGGGTTTCTTGCTTCACCTCTGGCCAACTCCGGACACGCCCCATTGCGTAGTACCAGACTTTTTTTCCATTTCTGTTTTTCATTCATTTGCTTGGCACCGGAAATGCAGAGTTAGCCCTGCTCTTTTGCAGGGCCAACTAACCCGTACTATAGGTGGGGCTAGCCCACTTTGGTAAATTTGTGTCTGAACAAAAAGTTGAATAGGCTTAACCCCGAACTATAGGTAGGGCTAAGACCCCCCTTTAGCCCCACCTATAGTAAGCGGCTAAGCAAAATTTTTACCAGTGTGAAAAGCCTATCCCAATGAGTTCGTAATGAAAAACTATCAGCAACAACCATGTCTGTAGCCCTAATAGACAAGAGCCAAATGCTATAACATATTATCCTTGGTGACAACATTAATACTATCAACATTTATATTACACATTCATACTGCCCCTATTGCTACATATATCTATATGTACATGTATCCCGGTGCCATGGTGTAGCTGTCCTTGCTTCTATTATGCAAAGCAACTGTCCTTGCAGCTCATAAAGAGGTAGGGACAACAGCATCAGTCACATGAATACGTCATACAAAGTAATAACAAGAAATTACATTGATTTGACATTTCTGTTTTAATTTCCTTTTCCCATCAATCTGTGACATCAGATAATACAATGATGAGCATGGACATTTCAGTTTGTGTTGTCCCATCAAAGTGTGATATATTAAAAATAGATCGGTGAAATCAAATAATACATGATACAGCAAAAATTTCCAATGTCTGGAAAAATTAAACATCTGCATTCAGGTAACTGTTGTTAATGAGATATTTTCATGCATATTTACATATATACATTATGAAAAAAAATATCCAGTTACTTGCCTCTCCTATGAAATGCAAATAAAAATATGCTCAAAATGTATGATTTATATTTATTTGCTCATATGCACTACATAATCTGAAATATTCTGTATCAATTGATAACGTACAGAAATCCAATGATTGTGAGAAAGATGTCAAATTCTTCACCCTTAATAACCTATCCTATTATAAATAGAAAGACATGACTGATACCCCACTATGTGATACAGCTAGCCCTTGTCTTATCATTACAACTTTCATTTTCCTAAAAATATACCCAGTATGCATCATTTACTAGTACGTGATACACACACTCTGCTATCTAGGTAAGATATGGAGTTCTTGTTCTATTCAAGAAGGGAAACCCTTTGACTTTACAACCTGAATACTGTACGAGGAAGGGTATGTTTGCTGAAGAAAAGAATGTTTACTTTCTGAACTTGTGTTATTCAAAATTAGATACCGGTAGCTCTTGCAGATATATGTACAAAGGTGTGATTGGTCCACAGCTCATCACATGAGCGAGGAATGTAAGTAGCATATTCACCCCCAATCATTTTTCAATGTTATATTGACCACTTGGTCTAATGAGTAAATTTTTGCGTCATACCGTATTCAAGCAACCCTGCGCGCACTGCGCTCACTAGCCCGTACTGATTGTTTGTATTGTCTTCATCGCGCATTTGACACAGAAAGTTAGGCGGCGCCAAGAAAAAAAAAAAAAAAATGTAATCCTCCCTCCACCCCTACCCCTGAGGCGGTCCTAAAATATGTTATATTATACACTCTACCAGTTAATATCTGTATACTATAAATAGGTTTTTATCTTTCTTATGACAATGATTTATCACCTCTCCATCTTCCCCGGGTGACTGGCCATAACAGGCATGCTCATCTGGTATACAAGGGTACAGCTGAGAGAAGTGGAATACTCTCCCAATATCTGAATCAAGTAGCACACATTGAATGTGTTTATTTTGCACAGACCAAAGAAGTGATGTCCTGTAAAACCTACAACCTTTTGTGACATGAAAATTACACATATTGTAAAAGACAGCTATTTCTGTAATTCAATAATCTTGTAGCATGGAAATTTCATGAATCAGAACCACTTGCAAATTGGCAAACAACAAATGCACACCAAAGTTTCTAGTTTTACAATAGTTGTCCACCCGCTGTAAGATGAAATGTGAAATAAACCTGTTCTATTTTCAAATGAGAAAATTAGCAACTAATGTTAGTGTCGTTTGGCATACAAAAACAAATATGTTAGATACGTCATACTTTTCCCCACTGCTATCAATGAAAATTGACCATACCTCAATTCATCCAGTAGTAAAAACATGTAATTCCAATAAAAATATAATCTCATTGGAAAACAAATATGAATGCGCTGATGCTGAGTCAGAGCTCTTGAGCGCCTCGTTACTACGATAAAGAGTTGCCTCGCATAGCCATCCTTCAAGAAAACATATTAAGACACACATTAGTACTGATGAATGACATAGATTAGGAAGATGCAGATTGAGGAGCCTGAATTCACAGAAACTCTCAAGTGTTATGAATGACATAAGAGAATCTTCATCATCCGCGAAACCAGAGGTGTAAAGGAAAGAGATACACATAGAATGATAAAGAGAGAAAAGGAGGGAGGGGGAGGGAGAGGGAGGGAGAGGGAGAGAGGGAGGAAGAGAGGGGAAGAGGAAGAGGGAGAGGAAGTGGGAGAGGGAGGGAGAGGGAGAGAGGGAGGAAGAGAGGGGAAGAGGAAGGGGGAGAGGAAGTGGGAGAGGGAGGGAGAGGGAGAGAGGGAGGAAGAGAGGGGAAGAGGAAGGGGGAGAGGAAGTGGGAGAGGGAGAGGAAGTGGGAGAGGGAGGGAGGGAGAGAGGGAGGGAGAGGGAGGGAGAGAGGGAGGGAGAGGGAGAGAGGGAGGGAGAGGGAGAGAGGGAGGGAGAGGGAGAGGGAGAGAGGGAGGGAGGTAGAGACGATACGAGGAAGGGAGGAAGGGAGAGGGAGAGGGGGAGAGAGGGAGGGAGGGGAATAGAGAGGGAGAGGGAGAGACGATAAGAGGGAGGGAGAAAGGGAGAGGGAGAGAGAGGGGAAGAGAAAGGGGGAGAGGGGGGGAGAGACATAAGACAGAAGAGACAAAAGAGAGAAAATATGGTAAGAGAAAGAGAGAAAGATAAATAACCGAGGCAGGGGAGGGGGGGGGGGGGGGGGGGGGGGACAAAGGAGGTTGGATCTACTGCCATAAAAAATGAAGTAGAAAGAAGTACGAAATCAACCTTCGCAAAGGCAAATCAATAATAGCGGGTTCTTGCGGAAAACTCAGAAAAGGTACAATTTACGAGGATAAGCAACAACTTCACTATCCTTCAAGGACGAAAAAAACAAATTCCCTGAAAGTCCAATTTGATCTTATTGCTCTTACTAACCAAGGCAGTGATAAAATGCTATTCTGTAGAGGGCACTGGCCATCTCGGGCGATTTTCACCTCCATTGAGAGGATATGATGGTTCTAAGAAACGAGCGGGGGCACGGGTCTGAAAAAACTAAAACCACAGAATGAACTGGGCAGGATGTAGGTCACGTGAAATGACGTTCAGCTAGTCTTATTTTCCAAGGAAGCGCACCGACTTCTAAGAAGAAGAGATGCAATCGTTCTTTTCAGGAGAACTGTCAATATAAGATACTTCCATTACTAGATTAATTCACATCCTATTTTCATATTGCATTGCTATTAAATATCTGAGTAATAAATATGTCACTGCTAATGGTTCCAATATCATTCCAGTGATGAATGGCAGCATCCGGTAGAAAGATGTTTCATACACCACATTAAGGATTGCATTTTCTGTCCTTTTAATCATATCTTTATGGCTCCATGACGAACACTATACATTTTGAGAGTTAACTCTCTCTTTCTCTCAATGTCACATGCTTCCAAATATTAGTGGATACTAAAATTTTCAGTACTGTTTTGTAGCATTCATTAAAAACAGTATACACCTACATTTGTATGATTCTTTCATTTCATAACTATTCTTCTTTCTCATTTAATATCTATATCATAGTCACAGATTTTTTTGCATTTTTTAATTCACTCTCTTTTCCTCCATCTCTCTGCCTTCTTTGCACTTATTTTCTATCATTTCATAACCTTTCTAAAGGAGAGCATATCCTCTCATCTCTCTCTATCTGTGTCTCTCTCTCCTCCCGAGCCTTTCTTTCAAGCTGGTATCACCCCATGAAAAGCTGGTAGATCATTGGAGAATGTGGGGCATTCCAACGACGTGAACTCCACAGACCCTGGCCGCCTGCAACCGCATAGCTCAGCTCCCGCCAAAAAAAGGGAAAAGAATAGATAGGAAAAAGGAGGCAGAAATATTTCCCATTATGATTTAAGGGATGTTTGGATGAAGAGGACTGCACACCAAGCTCACTACCCTGGATGCACTCCTCCATTTGTGTGGGCCAGAAATCCTCATCATTTCTGCATCATTTTTTTCTCAGCGCGACTTGGCATCTTTTCTCCCCCCCCTCTCTCCATGGTAGTCATAACATAGAGGTGTTGGCTATCAAATATCATTAAACTCTACCGTTGTGATGATTACACCCTACTGATGACGCTGACATCCTTTTCTTGTTTTTATCTGATTGCTTGTACAATCCAAGCTGTGAAGCAAGAATGATTTCTGGCTACCGAAAGACATCTACCGGTAACCTCAAAAATCTTTACAATCCAACTCGGATGCAAAAATATTAAATACTTTCATGAACTTAATATATATAAATTTAACATTAAATAATTCCATTCTGACATCAGACACACATGCACACATCTTTACTATCTTGCTATTAACTCATGAATACTAAGCCTGAGCTAAGTCTGGATGAAGTCTTTGGGAAAAGCTTGTTATACCAAAATCCAACAGCTTGATAATGTTTATAAATCTATACTTTTCATATTTATTATGTTATCTAATTACTGTTTTGAAAAAAAGAAGCATTCAGCTTATTCATAGATATTCCAAAAACAGCACAATAACTTTAAAGATTTATTTCATATTGAAATCTTTATTTTCAAATATTTCTAGCATAATTCAATTTACTTCCAAATAAAATTATCTATTATTACATGCCTTGTCAAAATTAGCTGAACAAATTCTCTATTGCTGAAAATTAAACACACATTTTATCCACCTGAATTTTCCCCATAAAAATGTTACTTTTAATATATCAACACAGGAAGAATTCCTGCAGTAATACTTGAGAAGGTCATTATCATCGCACTTGGTGATAGAGTTTGCTAGATTTTGATAAAATGACAGAGTTAAAAGCATCTACATGGTAAAGAGGTTCACATCTACTCAAGATTACCTGGTTAGTATACTGAACATGACTATTTTTACTCTAATGACAATAACTCTTCATTAATGTTATATCAAATCCAAACTATACAGATCATTGGTTGACTGTGCATAGGTGGCTGCTAGCACAGAAGACATCTATACCCACCGATATCAGTTTTAATATGAATTTGGTAAAAGAAGTTTCCTTTACTAAAATTAATCATGAAACAATTTTCAGAATACCATCCCTGATTATTATCTTGACTGGATGTCCAAAGCTACAAACATTAAGCCAACACACCCATCTCTTCCCTTCATTACAATCATACTCTTTTTCAGACGTTTTCCACTCAACCCGGATCCATTCAATTAATAACTCTATCCACTATAAAATAATACCCACATTTTTGGTAAATGTTTTCCTAATTTCTCAGTATTCACCCACACATTCTCTGAGTCATTAAGTAGTTCATTTGTATAACTGGTAGACATTCAATTAATAAATTTATCCATTATGAAATAATACCGGAATTTTTGATAAATGTTTTCCTAATTTCTCAGTATTCACCCACGCATTCTCTGGGCCATTAGGTAGTTCATTTGTAAAACTGGTAGACAGAGTACCTACCGGTATTTAATTCATTCATTAACAAGTTTTGCTACTTCTGATACATGAATTCATGCTGCATTCGGCAATACACGCATTCATTCAAACATCTTCCACCCTTATTCATGAAAAAGCTATTGACAAAAGATAACACAAAGCTGTGTAACCAGTGTTACATTCTACATGAAGTACACAATTTTCATGATCGCAAAGACTGTAACCTTGGCTACACTATAAATGCTTCCTAAACAATATCCAGAATGATCAAGTACTAGCTTCTACGTACCCTCAGGCTTTTCATGACCTACACTTAAATACTATTATCATTTGTCTTCTGTCAAGCAGAGGATAAAATTCGATTTTCCTACAATTAACAAGAAGGCTCCTCCTGTAAGCTTGCCATTGTATATCAATTACTGCCGATATGAAGGCAATAAATTGGATCCTTTGTTTCACCAGTCTTTTTAATTTCAAAGAACCTTTCGTTGCGACTTTAAATGAAATCCATTTTTACTCTTATTGTTTTCAAAGTCATCAGTATAACAACTTGTATGACAGGAAAATTAGATGAATTAAATCTTAACTCCTTTTCATTGATAGGATGCTTTCGCATATTTATGCAATTTTTTTTTATCAGTCGCAGCAATGCTTTTATAGGCTGTTCACAGCATCGTGTTTAAACCATACGTTAGGCCTAAAAAGAAGATGTTGTATTGCCATTTACGACCGACCTAAAAATCTTGAGTTTTTTTCTTCAAAACCTTTTTTTTAGAAGAAAAAATGTTTAATGAATAAAAAAAAAAAGCCATATCTGAAAAATATCAGCCCAAAGAGGGGGGAAAAATAGTTTAAAAAGTATTTTTTTAAAATTCTGACCGACCGACCCATGTTTAGCTCCTAAAGGGCAATACAACATCTTTTATTTAGCCCTATTATAAGGAGTGCTTTACTTACCATCGCCCTCTATGGACTGACTGGGTGAGGCTTCGTCAACGATGAGCAGACCATCGTTACTGTTCTCATCCTGTGGTACCGGTGTTAACGACAGGGAACGGGCGTGGTTGCTCTCACTTCCAACAGATACCTGAAACGAGAAGATGCATATTGAATAGAAATTTACATGAGGAGGTACATGAGGCAAGGCTGCTTTTGCCTACCCTTGACATATGGAATACAAAATGCCAAAATTGTTGAAATCATATAAGCTGTAAACTATGAGTTTGTGGGTTGATCCTTTCGATCCCTTTTTTTTAAAAGAGAGGTTTTTTGCATATGAGGTTGAGATAAAATACAAAATACATCTCAACTTTCTCAGTACTTACAGGAAAAAAAACATAAGAGAACTTTCATGAAGTTTGAATTCAAAGTCTGAATCTTTATTGATGAATGCAATGCTCGATTCAAATTCAGACCACATTTTCAATGCTGATGACACGATTTGAGTGCACATTGATGATGGGAGAATAATGAGCTGATTTTCCACCTGGGAGTTGAAATGGTGACTGGGTAAGCTAAGATGGAGGGATGCAGGCAGAGTAGCGGCACTAATACGACCATTAGCACAAATGAAACATGAATGAGCCTTTGATAAACGAGACATGTTCAGTCATCTGAAGTCAATTATTGGAACGATGTTTCTCTAGTTCATTGTCTGCGTTTTCTTTCTCATTTAATAGCTCCACACACACTCTGAATTCAACAAATTATGGCAAGAGTACCCCTCCCCCCCCCCCACAAACATGGACATACTGTATATGATAGATGAAAGACGGAAGAGTAAAATTCATTGTCATGTATTATTTGTTAATAGGTCACAACTACAATTGATTGTAAGAAAGTCAAAAACCTACCTACAGTATAACTGTATCCCATTCAAATTAGAAATGCAAAGCATATTTTCAATCTTTCTTCGGCTTTTACGATCTTGATATATCAAAAATTTAGAAAAATACAATGAGAGAAAGAGAGTGATAGTGAAAAAGTGAGAGAGAGAGGTGGAGAATGAAAAAAACATGTATATAATGTCAATCAATAGTTTTTAAAGTTCTTGTACAACAGATTTTTTTTTCTTTCGTCAAATGATTGATTGCCTCAAACCTTCCACCAATCAAATCTCAGGAATGCAGCGAGACAGTCCCACTAAATCAATTTCATGTTTGCAACCCATGCGTATCACTGCAGGTACGCCAAGAACGAAAGAGGAAGACGGAGGGAGCGCGTGAGAGGAGCAGAGCACCAAGGACGTACTTGAATGCTCAGAGGCGCGCCAGTTCGTGACAAGCATTCACGATTTGATGTGGTAATAAACATAGCGGAGTTGACTCTTGACGCAAGATGGATGAGAACGGAAGAGCCCGAGTAAGAGGTTGGCAGGCAGGGAGAGGAAGACAGAGAGAGCCATCATTCAGCCTTGATTGCCAGGGTAAACAGAATGTGAGACGACAACATTCAAGACCCTTCTCCAGACAGAAACGATAAAAGTAAATCATCTGCTACACCCTGTTTGGAGAGAAGCGCTGCAAGCTCTGCTCCTTTCCTCTTCCTCTCTCCATTCTTCCATTTCTTTAGGAATTTTATATACCGTACAGGTTAATAAAATGAAAAATACATCTAGTGAAAATTGTAAGGAAACCCCCACAGTCTGACAATAAGCATTCTAAATTTCATTTCTCCTGTGAGACGGAAGCATGATTCCAAGAAAGGGAACATCCCATTGCACCATTACCAGTCAAGGGAAGTCGGGTTTATTACCCGTTAGCTAGCCCTTCCATGAAATATTGATATATAAGGATGATAGGTACCAAATTGTGTTAACCAATCCCTCAGTGTGTTTCTATTTCACAAAGATTTATGCTTTAAGAGATACCTTACTGCAACCTATAACCCAGATCTACTTAGAATGTACATACACAATAGTTATGTACCTGCTGGACTCGGATAAGATATCCTGTTTTCAGCTTTGAATTATGTCATTTAGGAGACAGGCATAACCCTTTACACCGCCTACATAAGGGCTTATTTGCAATTTGGGGGTTGGTTGAAGAATAAAGTAGTCATTTTTTAGGGAAAAGAGTGGTATCATAAGAATCAACGTTACATGATTATAAATAAGTGAAAGGACATGGAAAGTGACAGACACTTTGTGACCAATTGGACAAAAGAGAAGATTGGAATGAATATAAAATAGCAAACAAGATATCGAAACTGATGGAATATACAGGAAGGGAGTTTAATAATGAATGAAGTTTGCAACAAATTCTTATTCCCTATCCCCCGGACCCCCCCCCCCCCCCCCCCACAAAAACAAATTTGCTATTCATGACAAGTTATTGTCCTAGATGTCTTTAAAATACTATTGTATCAAAACTATATTCTTGAGTGATCCTGTTGTTTTGCCTTTAACTTTCCAGCCATCTGGCAGGCACGATGATGTGAGCCTGGATGACATGGAATCTTAGAAACCAATCTCATGCATCACAGGCTTGCTCAAAGTACGTATCTACGGCAACAGAAACATGAAAGCCTTCGCTCCAGACAAACATTACCAACTCAGAAGAAGACATTGGAATACATCTTCTTGTTTGCTCATGATGGAGATGAATTATCCCTCCCTCCATGCTTACTTTGTGCAATCAATTTTCTTTGAAACCAAGGTTGGATGACGTCTTTTTCCAGAAGAGCTCTACAGTATGGGCTTTTGAAATGAATGAATAATCCAATGTATGCATACTCATTTATCTAAGATGTAGGTTTAAGATGTCCTAGCATTAATGTTTAGTGGAGGCCATAGCTTGCCAGACCAATACACATTGGGATAGCGTGATCTAATGAAAGAAAAACTTTCAAAAATTGTGCAAATACAGCACAAATTTGAAATCCTTTGGTCAATGGTTCTTCAAATTTGAATCACTTTTTTCGAAGACATTTTATTGTTTCTGATCAATAACAAAAAATAATGCAAATACAGTACATTCTTTACACAGACCCGTTTCTTCTTGTCTATCACGTTTCAATCGAAACATTTATAATTTTACTACTTTTTTTTAATTCTTTTTTTCTCAAGTTTTGACACTTCAACATGTCTAACTGCCTAAATATTCATATCTGGCATACCCTGTCTCTCATTTTTTTATCTCTTAACTACTCATCTCCTACAGCATCTTCTCCTATCATTTTCACTGTTTCTTTCCCTAAAGGCAAGAGTGCAGTTCCCTTGGATTCTTCTCCCCTTCAACATCGCCACAAAACCCTTTCAAAATGGCCCTGACGGTCGGTCGGTATAAGGAGCTCATGAAGTCGACTATTCAAGATATGACAGTTAGCAGGGCCCGGTGATGAGGTATGAAGGGTAGTCAGTCTGCTAGATTTTCAGCTGTTTTCCCAACCGGGTATTATGAGCTGACTGCCTTCATGTGCACCTGGGTACTGTACAAACACTGCATTGTGACGACAGAGAGGCTAAGAGCGCCAGACTTTTATGACGGGCTACTTTCCTGCACCACCAAGTATCACATGCAGCCTCTTCAAAACATAATGCACATATTTTCAATCCATTCAAACATATCCATCACTGAAATTTCCTATTCTGCAAAAGCCAGGAACTACAAATACATTTAGAGAAACATATTAGACATTCTGGATTCTTAGAGAGCTATGACAATAGTGAAGAAGGATTCGAGTGTGTGTTCTTCTATATCAATTATTGATTTCCATCTTCTAAAAACATCCATCTAGATTATTCTATTCTTGTATCATCTCAGTCCCTTGTTTGTGTTTCCACATTTTTTTCTAAATTTTTATTATAAATCAACCTTTCCTCTTTTTTTGGTAACACTTTACATATCATTGTAATGTTGAAATCTATTTCATCTAAATATTTTCATTGGAGGAGACAAACACTCAAAGAAAAAACACAAAATGAATAGATAAACAAACAAAAAAGAAAAACTTAAGAGACTGCTAATATTTTCCCTATAGGTATAGACAAACCTTTCAACTTTCTCATGTGAATGATCCCAAATAATACGGGAATAAGTACTGTATGGTATAAAAAAAGCTGAGTCAGGTTTTCGTGACAACTTTTGGTTTCATGATTAATGCATATTTGCACAAACAACGCTTAGAAGAGAAACGTTGATTACCATGCCAATTAACTGCCCTGCCCAACCAGACAATCTTTTTAAAAATGTATGCGACAGTGAGGTGCTCCTCTTCAAATATTAACCAAGAAATAATCACAAATGTCTCCATCATGATTTATAGCCCCCATCGTATACTGGGTGAATACGCCAGGGACTGCCGTTCCCCCTCCCCAAAAAAAAATATAGAAAAGAGAAAATGTGTTCATATATTTTTTATTAAAGGCTCAGTGGTAGAACAGTTAGAAGTTGAAACTTAGTTAAAACCCATGCCCTAAAATAAAATTTAAAAAATAAAAATGTTATATTAGGACTAAAAGCTGCCCCCCCCCTCTCATGTGTTGCTTATAAATTTGCTTTCTTAGAAGTCGGTTAACATTCTGAAGTATAATGTATATTGCTACTATGTATATATTGCCGGGACTCCAAACAAAAACAAAACAAAACAAAACAAAAATATAAAACAAGGTAATAAACAAACACACAACAACAAAAACTGCATTACAAAGTTATTCTTCAAAAAATTCTAGTAAGGCGAGGATTCTGCAAAAAGATGATCCAAGGAGACAGGGAGCCTTTATCCCAAAAGGCATCCCGAATGCTCATGTCAGGTATACCTGTCCAGCATGAGTAATACGTACTTTATATGAGCAAGTCTTCATTACATGTGGTTACCTGCAAATCAATTCCCCTGACTGGATTTCCAGTCCATTAGCTGTGCCTTTTATTCAGACCACTGTAAGTCAGTCAGTGAGTATGAACCAGCAGGTGCTACTAGCTAGCTGTCCCAGTCGCACAGGACACTCAAAAACTCTCTAAAGATCTAAGAAGCTCCTCTTTATAACTCATTGGATGAGATGTGATTTTGGTAGAACACATATTTTGCACAGACTCCACCCTTACGTATGATTTGGTATTCAGTGGATTGAACTTCATCATGGATAAA